GTCAAAGTGTGTCATATCTCAGGAGAAAATATCTGCTATTGGATTTAGTAAAAAAATAAAAAAAAAAAAAAAAAAAAATAAATAAATTTAAATACCATAAATAAAAGGACAGAGTTAGTAATGTTCATTAAATTTTCTCTGTATGACTGAAAAGACAGCGTAAATAAATTTGTGAGACTATGTGAAATTGTTTTTGAACGAATGAAAAACGTCTCTACAGAAATTAACCGTTGAGCCAAGAAGCAAGAAAATAAATTAGCAAGCCTATGTGAAATTCTTTTTAATATAAATGAAGAGAAAACCAAAATTAATGAGAGAAGAATGTTTGAAGTCATGTGAAAGGTTTTGTTTCTGTTCACTGCATCCAGCGTTGAATTTTTGCCAGTGTCAAATTACTCACCAGTTATATTATCAGCATGCATCCCTTCAAAGATTTTTTTCTCTCAACAATCTAAGAAAGCTAAGTATTTCAAACCATATATTCCTTTGGTGAGCAACAAACTCTCTTACCTTTATTTTAAACATTTTGGAATATTATTTTGTCATATCATTTAATCTTTTGTATGAACATTTCCTCTTCATGACAATTAGTTAAAACTACAGATTTTTAAAACAAGCTATTGAAACAAGTTCAAGTGTGTAAATCATACTTATTATAAAACCCAGGTTGTGTGTGTGTGTCTGTACGTTTATATATTGGATCGGATTTCCTACATTTTTCAACCGATTTCAACAAAACTTCACAGGACTATGTAAAATTACCTTGCAGTGGTTCTGACAGTGCCAAAAATTGGAAAAACAATTGTTTTTGCACAAAATCAATTTGAAAACACAATTAAGAGGCATCACTGTCACAAGAATGAAAGGGGGACAACTCATATAAAGTTATACTTATAAAGCCAGGTTGCTTGTGTGTGTGTGTGTGTGTGTGTGTGTGTGTGTGTGTGTTCATTTATATATGGGGTCAGATTTCCTACACTTTTTTTGGCAGGTAGTGTTTCTTATTGTCTTGTACCCTTTTTTCTTTATTTTTACATTCAGAATGCTTTAAAAATTCCATTTACAAGACAATTGTTTATAATAAAATTCTATTCAATCAATAGACTTATAACGATTGAAAACAATGTTTTGTTTGAATTTGGGTTTGACCAATTCGTAAAAAAAAAAAAAGAAAAAAAAAGAAAAAACTAATTAAGACATGCGTGTTCATCAACCTTAAACAATAATCTTTGTCAATTTTATTTTTCAGTCTTTATGATGGTCGATACTTGATCTATCTCTTACTGTTACATCCCTGGGCAACGCTGGGCTCTACTGCTAGTTCATAAATAAATTCCTTATCTGGTTTTGTTAAAATTACCAATGTGTTTCATCATTGTCTTGTATTCTTCTCCCAAAATGCAGAGCATATGAAAAATTAAATACATTGCAAATACATTTCAAAATGAACTTTTCAATTTACTTGATTTTTCATATGCTTTGCATCTTGTGAGGTAATCTTCTTGGCATGGATAAATGAACTGTTCATTTTAACCTCTAAGTACCATAAATTTTTACTGACAGCCAGTCAGCAACTTCAAATGAATCAATAACAACAAAAATGGTCAGTGAATTTTTTGCTAACAATAAGTCTTTTTTTCAACTCCAGCTTTTTTCTGTGGATCATCTATTTAAAAGTTTTGTCTAAACCACAAGCTTTAATTGTGAACAATTCAAAGATTTTGTCTCAGTTAAAGACTATTTTTAATACTTTTTAACTCTTGAAATCATATACATATATTTGTAAATACAAAGAATTTATTTAACGTGATGTAATGGAATAACCAGTCACCCCCATGAATGATTGCACTATAGATAGTAAGTACCTATAAAGTCAACTGTCTACAAGAGACTGGAGGAAGAGTGAGAGCAAGACAATGCAAGCATGTCTGACCTTCCAATTAGTGGCACTCACTAATAGATTGACCTGTGTGTATAACTGTACTGTATTTCATATTGTACTCGTTGTGTACAATAAACCTTTCTTTTATTATCCACCCGGTGTTAAGTATTTATTCCCTTAGCATGGAATATAACAACATTTTTTCTTTATTTTATTTTATTATTATTTGGGGAATTCGGACATTTGATTTTTAATATAACAAAACCTGCATGACTGAATTTCCTACAAATGGTGACCTCAACAAAGAAAACCAACCTCCTGACGCCTGTACAAAGTCAACTCAAGTGATACTTGATGCCTAAGAATATTAGACAGTGTAGAAGGAAAAGCAATCATGTGACCCAGATTACTTTCCTTTCAGACCAATCTTAGAATCACTGAGAAATTCATCTTGAGGCTCAACAGATGAAATGAAGCAGGCTAAAAAAACAAAAAAAAAAATGGAATGAACAAGATCAGCTTAGCTCGTGTCTCTCATGTTAAGAGTAAATGACTGGCTGCTTGTTTAAACACATCAACTACTTAAGTGTATAGATCAGTTATAACAAACTTAGCAAAAAAATAAAGAAAATGAACATAGTAACTGCATAGTTTGGCCCAACATCACAAATTATTACAAAACCTAAACATTAGCCCAAAAACTTTAGTAATATTCTTAAATAGTCTTGTCAGATTGAGATATCTTGCATGGTAGCAAACCCATTCTTGTAACCTAGGGAAGGTTACTGAATAGAACAATCACACAAAGGTTGATAATGAATGATAATACTTAGGACAAGAACAACATGTACAAGATTTACCAGCCATGCATAGAAGAAGTAGTCAACTGCTAGAAATGAGTCAAGTGAATTCCACAATGAATTTCCAACTGCAGACCAACATACAGTATTTACTACTGTATTTGTGAATGGGGACATACCCATTATTGTCGGTAGGTATGCTACAACAATCGTTCAGAAATATCTAAACTGTCAGCTTTGTATGACCGCTTTTTGAAACCAATGATTAAAAATGGGTTTGAGTGAAAGAAGTTTTAGCAAGGACTATTCTTTGAACTTTCTGGACTGGCACTACAGAATCACAACTTTACCAAATAAAAGAAACCATGTTAATCAAGGATTTTCAACAGCAACAAGAACTAAAATGAATAGCCTCTGTAACTCAAAGAGAAAATAAGACCTTAAGATTTTGATGTCTCATGCTACTTTAACACTTTAGCATTCCACATACTCAAACCTGCTCATAAATATCAGCTCTCAACATCTCACCATTTACATGACTTCTTGTGTTATTTACAATGATGTTGTATATTATGACATAGTATACATAGCATGTGTTATTGTGGGTTAAATATTGAGCCAATATTTACAAGGCAGGTTGAATGCTAAAGGGTTAAACAAATATGTTAGGAAGAAATCCCCTACCAATACTGGAAAGAGTGATGACAGTGGACTCGAGAAACCAATTTTCCTGAAAAGATTTTGACCAAAAGTAGCACTGGCTGCTCGGTCAATGACTGCTGAATGTTTCTTTATAGAAAGAAATGGCTAATATTACCATCTGCCAGAGTGGATAGCTAATCCCTGTTCCAGATTCCTGCTTAGGCAGATTTGTTTCTTCAACACTCACAGAAAAAAAAACCTGTTTATACTGCAAATATACCTTAGTTACAATTTCTGGAAGAGAACACCTAACCTAGCAGTAGATGAACAAGACCAATGCACTCAAACCATTGGTCATGAAGACTTGTAACTTTGTGCTAGTGTGATATGGTCTGCAGGCACTTTCTGATAGTGCTGCACACTAGAATTATCTCCCCATGTTGATATTATCTAGAAGTCACTATCCTAATGAATTGATCATGGTGGCTTTTGAATTTTGGTCTCATGGTCAGAATGCTAGCGTTCTACCCTCTTGGTCATGTGTTATTATGGTAAGAGTAAACTAACTAAATGAAGTGGTGAAGGATAATTTTGAAAGTCAATGTTAGTAATAGACACCAAAATGTGTGTGTGTGTTGGGGGGTAAATGAAAGAAGTTATAATTTGCATTCGGCACTAAAAGCAAAAAGACTTCTCCCATCAAAAAAAAAAAAAATTCTAGAACATTTTTTTTACCATGCCTCATACTGTAATTGTAAGAGGGTATGTTGAAAAGTTCTCAGCCCAGCTCACTTAAAATCATGACCAAATGACTAAACATCGGAATTTTGGTATGCGTTCTTGGACAGGCCGAGAAAATTTCAGCACTGCCTCATAGAAAACAAAAGAATATTCAACTAAAACACAAAATCACACATGAAAAAAAAAAAAAAAAAACAAACAAAAAACAGAAACAAAAAAAATTAAAAACAACAAAAAAAAAACAAACAAAAACACCCAAAATACACACAAAAAAAAAAAAAAAAACAGTGGGGAAAAAGAAAAACACACTGGAAAAAAAAAATAAAAACATACAAAAACCAAATAAATAACAAAAATACACACAAAAAACACTCACAAAAGCCAAAAGAAATGCAAAAAAAAAAAAAAAAAAAAAAGAAAATGACTGCTAAAAGTCTTATATAAAAGAAATCTAATAATAGAATGATTAAGAAAAAAGAAAATATATGAAACCATGTTATTGTGATAATGTTAAAACATCATCAATAAGTCGCTGATTTGGACTTTTTTTTCTCAGAGAAGTTTTTTGATTTTATTAATTTTTGACATTTGTCTTGGAAATGGATTTTTGATGGAAAAATGATTGTTGAATTGCTAATAAAAAAAAAGTAAATATGAAATATGAGGCTAAGTAAAAAATATGTCCCAGATCCAAATTAATCAAAAGCAGCATAAATGCTATCAGCACAAGAGAAACACCTAAACAAAAAGACAAGCTTCATTCATCGATCAATCCAAGCCAAAATATTTAATTAAAACCAAAGAAAAGAAATTTAAAGAAAAAGAGAATGAAAGAAAAAAAAAGAAAAAGAAATAAAACAGTATAAAAGAAAATTAAAAGAAGGGCAAGGAAAAGGAAAAGCAAGACAGAGGGAAATATTTAAGGGGTACGGAACCTGTTTCTTTTGCAGAGATGTTTGCTGCGGTAGATGCTTCGATGGTAGGTTCTGTGTCTCCGCTTTCATACAGGCCTCGTACTCCAAGATATGGATACACTGCTCTCACAACAATCCGTTCAAGTTTTAGTTGGTGTTCCAAACTAATGCCATCATTGATTCCCTGCAGAAAATTGAAATAAAAAAAATCAAATATTTAGAAATTATTATTACTAATTATATTGACAATAATTTGTAAACAGCTCGCTATAAATAAAAAACAAAAAGGTCCTTGAAAAATATAACATAAGTAGGTGTCAGAAAATTCTTAGCCTAACCCACTTCTGACCAAAGGATAAAAGTTTCTTGGTGAAAAAGTTGGTTCTCTGTGTTGCGCCAGAAGGTTTTTCTTGTTTGAGTCTATCCTCCAAATCTAGCATTTGTCCACGCATGGAATACTATTGCCATATATGGTCTGTTGCACCTGGTGTCCATCTCAAGGTTCTCAACAAAATCCAAAGATGGATATGCAATGTGATCAGTCCTGATTTGGGACCTCAACTTGAATCACTTTCTCACTGATGTAATGTGGCTTCCCTCTGTCTTTTCTATAGATATTTTCATGGCATCTGATCTGATGAGCTATTTTCACTGGTGCCCCAACTGGATGAATATAAGCGTGCTACTAGGTTGGCATCTTGGTCCCATCCTTTTACTGTCAAAACAATGAAATGTAACTGCCTCTTCTACTCCAACAGCTTCTTCTCTTGCACTTCCTGACAGTGGAACTCCCTTCCTCTTATTTACTTCCCTGATAACTAATCTTCAGAAATTTAAATGTAATATCAATTGACATCTTTTGTTGTCTTGATCCCAGTTCTTCTTTTTATCCTTTCCTCACCCCCCCATATACCCAGTCTTTTCCCTTATTTACACTCTCTGTAGCCTCTTGTGTACTAGTGGTACTTCTGCCTTGTTTGGGGTGAAATGTGTTATAAAATAAAATAAGACATATCTCGGCTGATTTGCAGGCAAATAAACTAACATTTTAGTAAAGCCGGATGTAAACGGGACAAGGCTCCATCACAAAATGACCATATTTACGCATTTACGCATATTCCTGACGCACGAGTTCTGGTCGAAAAATAAAATGTTTCTATTTTTCGACCAATAAAATGCTTCCCTCCTAATTATACTCACGTCGTTATACAAGCCTGTCAAGCCATAAAAAAACACCATAAAAGGGGTCACAGGGAAGTACAACAGCAGTCAACAGGAGGCCAGCGGAGAGACCTGTCACGATCAGGCTGAGTGGTCAGCAGCAGCCCACAGCAGTAGCGCCACGCCAACCAGCGAGAACTACTAGGAGAGATCAACCCAGATCTGCAGCCGGCCTATGAACTATACCACAAGATAGCTGTCGGAAACCCACACGTTCCTATTGAAATAAATTACATAAATCTATTTCTACTGTTGTCATATTTCCTTCTTGCAATCATGCACTTGTCTATAAGAAATGCTTAGAAACAAAAAAAAAAAAGACAAAACAAAAAAACCTTGGCATAACAAATGAGACATTAGCTGTGGTTATAATTAACAATAATGAACTGCCTATGACACAGGAGATTATTTATTATTTATTTAGGCTTATGGCCACATCATGTTGAAACACTGGTTCCTGTACAATCACCGATGTTAAGCAACATTGAGGCTGGTCAGTATATAGATGGGTGACTGTTTGGGAATGCCAGGTTGGTTGGTTGGTGGATTTTGTTTAGCATTATATCAACGTTTACGGGTTACTTAATGTCGAAATGTAAAGATTCTGTATGCAATTTTATTTTATTTTTGGAAATAATGGTTTTAGAGATACAAGTCTTACTAATTAACCCATAGATGGGGAGAAGAGTTGGATTTATACTTTTCCCAAGGGTATTTGCATGTCAGTGAATATAATAAATGCAAGTGAAATTGGAACTTGACTCTCCAATTAACAATTCCAAGCCATTAACCATCACACTATTCACACATCCAAGCTTACAGAACCTGGTATTCCCAAGTGGTCACTCATCTAGGTAATGAAGAGGCTTGACATTGCTTAACTTTGGTGATTGTACAGGAACTGGTGCTCCAAAGCGATACAGCCATAAGATAGGAATACCTGGTGATGTAAGCTTGGACGGATTAATTAGTAAGTCTTGTATCACTAAACCAGTATTAGCTAAAAAAAAAAAAAAAAATTCCATTTAAAGTTATTTTCTGGCTTTAAATAACCTGCAAAGGGTTGATAACCTGTAGTAAATCAATCAATCATTATATATTTTTTCATTTAATTTTCTTGGGCCTACAAATCTTCCAGTTTGATGATTACATTCAAGCATAAGAGACTGTCGCCACTCGTTGACTTCTTATAGTTTATACATGCTCTATCCTGGACATTGAGCAGATGTGAGGGTTGTGTAATGGATAACGGCTCCAGCAGATTGGAAATCAGAGAACAAAGTTCCAATTCTAGTTAGGTTAGTTATAGTCACTTACACACAACCACCTTACAGGCTTCATTCTCTTGAAGCCATTTTTAACCATTAATATGAAAGAATGGTTGTATAAAGTTGACAACAATTTCTAAATGGATGTTCTAATCTGACAGTTTAGATATTTCTGAATAAGTTTGGCACCATGCATAACATCCACATAAAATCCTGATCTGGAATGGTTATTTAAGAACATGACTCGAATTTTAGGTTAATGTTTCGGTTTTGTAGCAATTTGTGGTATTGGGCGAAACTACCTCTAGTGCAGCCTATTTCAGGCTCCATTTCATTATATTTTATACTAAATTTGTTTATTACTTTAATGTTATTTTTAGAGGATGCACCATTTATTTATTAAAAATTATATTAATTTATTTTCTTCTACCTATCTGAGTATTTGAAAAATACTATTAAAAGAAAAATATGCACTCTCCAGCAGGATTTGATCAACAAAGCACACTGTAGGCAAGTTGGTCTAAAATACATTGGATCTAACAACAGTTTCCCCTGCCAAGGGGGATGCAAGTTTAAATCCAGCCGGAGAGCACATATTTTTTCTTTAATAATATCTCTTGAATATTCAGGCCTGTAGATAAAAAAATAAATATAATGTTTAATAAATAAACGGAGTATCTATTCAAATATGGGTAACCACTAAAAATAATGTTTAAGTAATAAAATCTCTTGGATTAATGAATAAAAATCTATCACTTCTTCAGAAATTGCTTTGCTTACATTAGGATACGAAACTAAGCAGATATGAATGTCGCGAGAGTCTGAGAAAATTTTTCGTTTATAAAGCACTATTCAACTTTGTTCAATCATTGATGCACTCCGTAGTCCAGACACTCTAAAGCACGTTGGCTCTAATGACAGTTTCTTGTGTCAAGACTTACGCAGGTTCAAACCCTGCTGAAGAGCATATATTTTTTTTTAAAAAAGATTTCCCAAATGATAGATGAAAATGAATTAAAACACTGTTCAATAAATACACGGAGCGTCTATTCAAAGATTAGTATCCAATATAAATAAAGTTTAAGTAATATGTGTGTGTGCATATGTGTGTGACTTTGAAAACACTTCCCCAAACTTTGAGCTTTGATATATGGGCAAGATTAATACACCAATAAATCCGGATTATCTCTCATCTACCTCTTGATTGTTTTTTTTTCATGTTTTCATTAATTTCCATGGATTCCTGTTGAATCAAACTTTATATATATATATATATATATATATATATATATATATATATATGCAGTATATTTTTCATCTACCAGCACTCAAGCAATCTTATAAAAGAAAAATGATAGCTCTCCAGCAGGATTTGAACCAGCGTCCACCTTTGCAAAAAAAAAATGTTAGCTCAGGCGTGCTTTTGAATAGTGGAATAATGTTTAATAAAATCTGTTGGATTAATAAATAAAAATCCATTGTTTCTTTAGACATTGATTTGTTTATGTTAATATATGAAACTGAGCAGATATGAAGGTTTCAAGAGGCGGAGAAAGATTTGCATTTATTCAACATTGCTTGATTGACAATGCACTCTGTGGCTAAGTCTAAAGCACATCAGATCTAATGACAGTTTGCCCTGCCGAGGGAGATACAGGTTTGTATCCTGCTAGAGAGTCCATATTTTTTCTTTAATAAGATTTCTCAAATATTCAAGCCTGTAGATAAAATAATAAATAAATATACTGTTTAATAAATAAACAGCGCGTCTACTCAAATATGGTTATCCACTAAAAGTAACATTTAAGTAATAAAATCTCTTAGATTAATAAGTAAAACTGTCACTTTATAAATTATTAAATTTGTTCTGATCCATACACTGAGGTTAGGTTAGGTGCCATCACTGGTTTCATTCCAATTCTAGATCATAGTTAACCAACATCCAATAAGTTGGTGAGTTATTCAGAATCACAGAGAGATATACTACTCAACACAAACATTTTTTTAATCATTTCATGACAAGCAAAGTGAGAATGCCACTAGAATAAAGGGGACTACAGAGAGTGAAAGTGAGAGAAAAGACTGAGTATAGTGAGGATTGAGGAAAGGACAAAAGATGAACAGGATTCAAGAAGACAAAAGATGGCAATTGACATTGCATTTAAATTTTTGAAGATTGTAGTTATCTGGGAAGCAAGTAACTGGAAGGGAGTTCTACAGTTGGGAAGTGTGAGAAAAGAAACTGTTGGAGTAGAAGTGGAGGTTATATTTGACTATTTCAGCAGTAAAAGGGTGTGACCTAGATGCTAATCTAGTAGCACACTTAAATTCATGTAGTCAGGGCACCAGGGAAAAAAGCTAGTTGTAGCAGTTGCCTTGAAAATATTTGTAGAAAAGAGAGGGAAACCACATCATGTTGGTGAGAAAGTGACTGCAGCCGAGATGCCAATATATGACTATTCTACCATGAAACAGATTTTTCAAAAAAATTATTTCACCCCAAGTAATCCAGGATTGCCACTAGTATGTTGGGAAGTACAGAGAATGAAAAGGAGAGAAAAGACTGCATATAGGGCGGATTAAGGAAAGGATAAAAGATTAGCGGGGTTCAAGAAGATAGAAGATGGTGATTGACGTTGCATTTAAATTTTTGCAGATTGTAGTTATCAGGTAAGCAAGTAAACAGAAGGATGTTCCACAGGTGGGAAGTGTGAGAAAAACTGTTGCAGTAGAAGTGGCAGTTGGATTTAGCTGTTTCAACTGTAAAAGGGTGGGTCCTAGATAGCAATCTAGTAGCACACTTAAATTGATGTAGTCAGGGCACCAGGGAAAAAAAAAAACATGTCTTGAAAAAAAAAAAAAAAAAATATTGCCTTGAAAACATTTGTAGAAAAGACTGAGAGAATCCACGTCATGTTGGTGGGAGAGTGCTTACCTGTAAGACTAAGACCATCTGCTTAATTGGTTCAGGTACAACAGGTGCCATCTCCAGTGCTTCTGTTCAAAGTAGAAAAAAATATGTAAGAAATTAAAAATGTTTGTGAAAAAAAAAAAAAACAAAGCTGACGAGGTTTTAGATTTGATATTAGTTATATTAATTATATTATCGGCTTGTAACCAGCATTCAGCACTTCAAAAAGTTTTCTCTTAACAATCCAGGAAAGCTAAGTATTTTGAACTATCTCACTTCATCTACTTTTGAACAAATGCAAACTATATATCACTTCAGGGAACAACAAACTCTCTTACCTTTTGTCTTAAAAAAAATTTTTAATATTATTTTGTGTCAGATCATTTAATCTGTTGTATGAACATTTCCACTTTATGACAAAAAGTTAAAACTACAAACTTTAAGAATTCGGTTTTATTTTCCTGAAATGAGCTACTGACACAAATTTAAGCATGTGAATTCATGAATAAATTCCTTATCTTGTTTTGCTAAAATTATCCATGTGTTTCATGATCATCCTTCATTAATCTTCTGTTTGTTAAATCAACTATTCATTTTAACCCCTAATCCCACAGCTCTATAATGATTTCAGAGTTTCACCTCCTCAGCATTACTGTTATTATATAAAGGACAAAGGACTACAGGGTTTTGTTGACTTCAGTTTTCCTTATTGAAATAGATACTTTCAAAATATATGTGTTTTTTTTTCCTTAATGAAAGCAAAAAAAAAAAAAAAAAAAAAAAAAAAAATTCTAAATTTACCCAAAAGGAATTATGCAATTTAAATGAAATTTTCAGGATTCAGGAATGAATAAAGTTTACACTGAACAGGTTATTCTATTAGAAAACTTTGTGAAAAATCTTTTTCATCAGTTACACTCTTTTCATACATCATGAACATGTTTAAAATTGACCATTGATAGAAATTTTTTTTTTTAAAATAAAAAAAAAAGTTATTTCTGTAAAAACTTATGTGACATCAAATCAGAACATCTTGAAAATTTGTCCTGAAACCTTACAAAAATAATTCAATAAAACTAATGAAATATTTTTTCCATAGTTGGTGCTTGCATAATTTAATAAAGCACATTACACAGGTTGAGAATCCTTTATCCAAAATTCTTGGGACCAGAAATGCTTCAGTTTTTTTTCAAATTTTCGAGTACAGGCTATTTAATTTGTATAAGTATCTATAAAATGGGGCAGCTTGGGAATGGAACTCAAAAATAAACACGATATCCCTTTACATTTCATAACACAGTTTATACATATACACTGAAGGTAGATTTATATAAACAACATATACCTTGAAAGTAGTTTTATATAAAATTTAATAAATGTTGTTTACATACAGATACAGGTAATGATACTAGTCATAATGCTCACACAGATTTTTAAGTGGTGAAATTAAGATTTCACAGAAATAATGTTTTGTATTTTCTGTATATGTACAAAATATTGACAAACATAAACTCTTTCTTTTTTTCTTTTCAGTACTCATCTGGGTATCTGCAGTACTTCTAGACATTTTAAATAATATTTTTACTGAGCATGAAACACCTGGTAAGCAATCCATGAACAAAGGTGTTACTGTGACGATCGCTAACAAAAATCAGAAACTAATGAAGGCTATATAGCTGGACTGGGGAACCCCAGGGCTGATGAGGTCACTTACATCACCTAGGAACCTTTCCAGTGGTTTTTGAAATTTTCCATTTGTGGAAAATCATGTCAGCATTTGATTTTGGAATTTTGAATAAAGGATACTCAGCCTTTACTTTTTTTGATAGGATAAAAGATAAAAAAAAAAAAGATTAACAATGAATCATACTTATTATAAAACCCAGGTTGTGTGTGTGTGTGTGTATGTTTATATATTCGATCGGATTTCCTACATTTTTCAGCCGATTTCAACAAAACTTCACAGGACTATGTAAAATTACCTTGTGGTGGTTCTGACAGCACCAAAAATTGGAAAAAACAATTGTTTTTGCAAGAAATCAATTTGAAAACACGATTAAGAGGCATCACGAAAATGAAAGGGGGACAACTCATATCGAGTTATACTTATTACAAAACCCAGGTTGTGTGTGTGTGTGTGTGTGTGTGTGTGTGTGTGTTCGTTTATATATGGGATCGGATTTCCTACATTTTTCAACCCTATTTCAACAAAACCACTTTTTTTTTGGCAGGTAGTTTTATTGTCTTGCACACTTTTTTCCTTATTTTTACATTCAGAATGCTTTAAAATTCCATTTACAAGACAATTGTTTATATAAAATTCTATTCAATCAGTAGACTCATAACGATTGAAAACAATGTTTTTGTTTGAGTTTGACCAATTCGTAAAAGGAAAAAAAAAACAAAAAAAAACTAATTAAGACATGCATGTCTGTCAACCTTAAGCAATAATCTTTGTCAATTTTATTTTTCAGTCTTTATGATGGTCGATACTTGATCTATCTCTTACTGTTACATCCCCAGGAAACGCCGGGCTCTCCTGCTAGTATTTACTAATATTAGGTTGGCCAAAAGGTTTTGTTTGCTTATTAAGTAGAAAATTTACTTAATAAACAAAAAAAACTTTTTGGCCAACCCATATATATATGGTGTTTAAAATGTTTTGTATATATATATATATATATATATATATATATATATATACACACACACACAAGTATAGGATTGGTGTATATGGAATAAATTCCAATAACCAACAAATACTATTCTTAAAAGAGTGCTCAATACAGAGTGGGGAAAAATTATTTATTCGAAAATTATAATATAAACATGTTATAAAATCACTACAAAAATAGCCATTTTGTTTCAACACTTCTGGTGTCTTATCAAGTGATGGTGTTGAATGTAGAACCTACATATAGTTCTACATTCAACTTTAGAAATACATAAACATGAAACAAGACTTAATTTGAAGTACCACCATCTGTATCAGTTGAAAGTAGGATTGATTTTCAAGGTTAAACAACAAACACAATGACAATTAACAGCAATATTCAGCAGGGAGAGAGAGAAGTAGTGATTGAATGTAGTGATAAATATAGGTCAAGACATGCAGGGTAGGTAGAGATGAGAGGGAGAGATAGAGATTTGTTAAGCTGATTACCTTCCACATCCAAATTGATTTTCAGCAGGACTGTGTCCCTGAAGTCAGCCAAAATCAGTTGTCGTAAAGAGATCGTTACGTCCTCAGGTGGACAGTCCTGAAAGATATTGAAAATCAGAGACAACTTAGAATATAGAATTGGTCCAAAAGGTCTGTGTAGACAGATATGTGATTAATCTGCATAGTTTTGCCAATAACTGAAGAGAGAAAAAAAAAAAGTGAATAAAAATGCATCATGTATGTGGAGCCATGTATAACCAATCAGAAATAGGACAGAGAGATATTTCTTTCAATCTTAATCAAAAATAAATATTTTGTTTCTTGAACTGAGATTTTATACATATTATAAAAATGTCATACATTGACTACAAGTACTAATAAAATAGTGTATAATAAAGCTATAATATTAATAATAAATATACATTTTTTTCCCTTTATATATTGCCTGACAATTGTGTTTAAGCATGAAACAGGCTATTGCCTTTGGGTGTTGATTTCAGTGTCCATTTTATATTTACATACGCTTTTTCTCTGATATTGAGCATTTTAACCCATAAATACAGCATACCTTAATGTATATATATATATATATATACACATACAGGTATGATGTGAACAAATAGAGTACAATTCCAATGTTCATAACATTTAATTTAAAAGAGGGCTCAATACAAAGTACAGCAATATTATTTATGTTATATTACACAAAAACATGTAAAAAATCACTACCCAATTGCAGTCATGTTTCAATGAATGTCAATGCATCTCATGAGGTGATTGTGAATTACTGGTGAGTGAATGTTTTATGTAGATTTAAAAGCAAAATACATCTTTTTAAAAAAAAAAAAAGGCATAAAATTTGAGGGCTTTAATATATAAAGTTCCATTAAAAATGACTGGCAAGGTACAGTGATTAAGGTTTTTATTCAATTTTTCTTCTGTTCATATAAGTGTCTTCTTTTTGGGGATATAAAGTGTATAAAAACTGTCTAAATGCACTTATATATCTGAATGCTTTCAGTTATTCTATTAGTCATTATCAAGGATGTAGATATACATGTATATAAAAATCTACATATGTAGTTAATAAAACATTCCTGATAATGGCTAACAGAATAACTGACATAGTTGATCTATGGTATCCTCAGCATCTTTCTGTAGAACCACATTTCTGTTGCTTCAAGTCTCTTTTTCATCTTTGGGGAAATTGTCCAGCACTCAATGCCATACAGGAGGACAGATATCATGTAACAGTTTAATACTCTTTTCTTTGTTTCTAACAAAATTTTTCTATCTCTTAATACTCTGCTTAGCTTTTGGAATGCATCTTTGGCCATCTCAATTTCAGTGTTGCATTTTCTGTCCTCTGTCAGAACACTTCCTAGATATTTAAATTTTTGTGCTTGGTTGATTTTGTTATCTTCGATTTTCAGTTTGGGCACATCCAATTTCTTGCTTTCCTTCATCATCTTCAGTAGAAGCTTTTATAGTATTTGTTCTATATCTGCTATCAACACTGTGTCATCTGCATATGTTATGTTGTTAAGATTGTGGCCACCAATACTGAATCCTGGTAGGACATCTAGTTCTCTCAGAATTTTGCCTGGAATTCAAATTTGTTTCATTTTCTTGTGTTTCCTCTCAATTTGTTTTGGACAATATTGCTTGCTTGTTTCTTTCCATCCTTGTTCCTGAGGGCCAGGAACCATTGGCAATTACACTGTTGGGGCGCACCCACCTTCTAACTAGTAATGGACTGGTCCCTCTTATATAAGTCAGCTCTGGAGAGAGAGTGGGGAAGCGTCAGAGAGAGAGTCAGCGTGAGCAGTCCAGATAAGCTTACCCGGTACATACCGTTGGACTATAGACTTTGGATATTGTTAGAAGTACTAACCAACCTTCGTTCTACTAATCACTATTGTTAATTGCTTTTATTAATATACCAGTATTTTCCTCTACAGCTGTGTTTGTCTTGATTCATACACCGACACGCGGGAAACTCACAACATCTCAACATACACCAATGCTCTTTACAGTTCAATATCTTTTATGTGCCGTGTCCCTTCAGGACGTAGATTATCATGGCTCTCAACAATTTCCTGTCTTTTGTAAATTTTGTCTTTTCACTATCTCTCCTAATCCCTAATCCGCCAGCCATTTATGAATGCTTGTTAGGTAGGTTATGGGCTGCTTTTATCTGTTCCTCTTGCCTTCAATATGTCCTGCCAGTATCAAATTTTCTAAGCCTTTTTTCCTCATTTATGTGACCTAGAAATTTCTATCTTTTCCTGATGTTAAGTATCCTTTTTGTTTCTATCTGTAGAACAACATTTCTGTTGCTTCAAATCTCATCTTCATCTGTGAGGAGATGGTCCAACATTTTTTTTTTTTTTTTTATAAAAAAATTTTTTCCTGTTTCTTAACACTTTGTTTAGATTTTAAAATGTATCTTTTGCTATCTCAATATGCCTTCGGATTATGATGTCCACTTTCCATCTTTCGTTAAAATATTTCTTGATATTTACATTTTTGATTTTGACATCTCCAATTTGTAATTTGAATCTTAGGCTCATTTTGCTAGCAACCATACAGAAAGCCTTTTTGCAATTGATGTTTAGTCCTTTCTTCTCACTTTCCTTCACTATCTTCTGTTGGAGTTTTTTTTTTTTTTTTTATTTTCCTTTCTTGTCTGCTATCAACACCATGTCATCTGCATATTTAATATTGTTAAGATCGTGGCTGCCAGTAATAAATCCGGGTAGGAATTCTAATTCTCTCTGAATCATCTCACCATATAAGTTGACTAAGTCCGGTGAGAAGATGCCTCCTCTTTACACATTTCTATTTATGTATATTTACTGAATTCATTAAAAAAATTAAAGCCATGTCCTTTTAGAATGTTGGTTAATGTTGTAACCTAGGAAGGGTTACTGAATGAGGAATAACCAAAACAGAGGTTGGAAATGAAATGGCAATCTTTATAACATCAACAAAATACAATACTCGCCAGCGGCATGAAGTAGGTAAACCACTGCTAGTGGTGGACTACTTAGACACCATATTACCCCCACTTACAATAATGTCTAATGTATTTATGAGGATTGGGACATACCCATTAGTGTTCATAGGTATAGTATATAACAGTGATCATAGCTCTCCACAGATTCCATTTCTTTATTATTTGGAAAGCATTCTAATTTCTTGGTAAAGACAGTGAAGCAGCTTCCTGTTGCCTTTCTCCATGGTTTTTGAATTTGGAGTAATCCTTCTCCAAGACTGGTCACCACCCAAGGCTAGAGAGATTCCTCATATTTAACCCATAGCTGGGGGTAGGAAGAAGAGATTTATGCCTTTGTTAGTGTGAAAGGTAACAATGCAGACAAGGCCACAATTTGAGTTCAGTTTACAAATTTCACATTCTGCACCAATATCTATTGTTACTAGTACATCCCACTATAAAAAAATGGTGGTGTAAAACTGAACACTTTATTCCAAGCACCTCCGAGTTTCAAATAGGCAGACCAGAATGATTATTTTATTTTGCTTTTAAGAGAAAAGTCCACCTGGGACATCCTCACCCCATCTCTTATTAAATATTCAGGAAATTTCTTCCCACCACTTAATTAAGTCTGAAGATTCTAGGACAAAATGTTCCATTACTGAAAATTTATAAAAAAAAAAAAAAAATTGGAGAAAAAATTCCAACCATCCTGTCTATTTGAAACTTAATGCTAAGTGAACATGATGAGATTACCATTGCAAAAAATATTAAAAACATCTGCTTCATAGATTACCAGTTAGACAACATGTTAGAATTGCTTCAAACTAAGGCATTTCCTTATTCTGAAAAAAACAGAATGACCATTCTTTGAGTAGATCTCCTTCATTATATACCCACTGATAGATATCAATAAACTAACTTGTTTCTTCAGACTTCCAAGCTTATATTTCTGTGAGGACTTATAAATGAAGCCCTGTTTCTTGTAAGGAGGGGTTTTCTTTACATTTTAAACTGAGATAATGAATGCAACTTCATTCTTGTTATCAAAAAGCAGGAAGGAGATTTTATTCCTAATGGAAAGTCTGAATAAGTAAGCTTTCAATCAGGCTTTGACACAAGCAAATTCTTTTTTTTTTTTTAGAAAATATCATTCAGCATACAAGAACTTCAGGAAGCACTAACCTTTAGACTGAATCTGTGTTTAAACACAAAGATTTTTACTAGTGAGACAAGAATATCCTGATAGTACAGTGTGCAGCAGAAATAGCTCCCAGATAATAAGACAATAGTGTCAATGGTGTCTTACTCTAGCTAATGTCTTACCATTATTTTAAGGAATTTCTGCCACACCCTGTATCATTATTATGTCACTAATACTTGGGATGATTTACAGAAATTAACAAATATAGCAGAACAAGTTTAAAAAAGGAATTATCAAGATGCACAACTTATTTAGAGCAGCAAATTAAAGGAAGTTGTGGAGAGTCATGATTAGTCACATCCTAAAAAAAGACATGGCACAAACAACTGGGATATTTTTTTTTACAACAATACAATGTTCACCTGTACAAGGCCCGGGAGCCATTCAAGGTAGAGGGTTACAGAGCAAGAAGTACACTTATGCGAATATATGGGGTACATAATAATTAACTCTAGATTTGAACAGGTTAAAATAACTCCCACGGCAGAACAAGACTTAAAAGATAAGGTAAAGGGGGTTGTAAAGAGGGATAGGCTATTTAGAACAGCAAATGACAGGAAGTTGTGGAGAGCCATGAACAGTCACAACCTGAAAAGACATGACACTTAATAAGGTCAAGAGATATTTTCTTGGGATGTATATATTGAAAGAGGATAAAATTTATGAAGATGATGCAAAAAAAAAAAAAAAAAAAACAAAAAAACTGTTTTTACACATCCTGAAAAGAGCAGGAAAATCTTGTTAAAGATTTCTCAGACTTCAGGAAAATAACTATTATTTAAATTATAATCTTCAGAGAGCTTTCTAAGAATATGAGCAACAAATGACGAAACCATTTGGAGATATACAAGATCTTTTCTATGTGATGTTTCCCCATCAGGACACTGGCAATCATAGCCCTCCACAAATTCCTGTGCATTGTAGCTCTTAATAAAATGCATCTTTTTGCTATCTCTATTAAGCCCTGTTTTTCCAACCATTTACACAAGCTCATTACTATGTTACGTTCCTCTGTCCCCTCTTACCTTCAATATGTATTGTGAGTGTCAAATGTTCTAAGCCCTCTTTCCTCATTAGTTGCTTTAGAAGTTTTAAATATCTTTTTGATGTTAAGTATAAATGCCCTTTGTGTTTTCATTTTCTCTAGAACTTTATTTCTCACATGTTCAGTCCATAGTATTCTCAGCATCCTTCTGTAGAAGTACATGTATGTTGCCTCAAATCTCTTCATCTGTAATGAGATTGTTCAGCATTCATTGCCATATAGGAGTACTACTATTGTATAACAATTCAGCTCTCTTTGTTCCTAAAAAGATTTTCTGCTTTCTTAATACTTTGCTTAGCTTTTGGAAGGCATCTTTAACTCGCCCAAAGCACCATAGGATTTAAGTTCTATTTTCCTTCAAAGTAGGATCTCCCAAATTTGAATGTTTTTGTTGCAAGCTCAACTGTCTATTTCTGATTCTAAGTACAAGTGCCCCTTTTCTTTTCAATGTGTCCTGTGAGTGTCAGATTCTCCAAGCCCTCTTTCTTCATTATGTGTCCCAGAAATTTCTGAGTGTCTCTGATTCAAAGTACATATGTCCTTTTGTCTTCATTTTGCTTAAAACTTCCTTATTACTCATTTTCCATCTATGGTATTCTCAGGATAAGGATTACAAATGTAACTACATTTTCAGAAATGGAATGTCTTATCTTTTTGGCACCTACTATTATATCCTGTTCAAACTTTAATAATTTGCATCACCTTACCATGAGTATCTTTGGCATAGATCATATTCTCATTGACTCACCAGATCTCAGAGAACAATAGATATGGAATTTGGACATTTCCATGGAATGGTGGTACCACTAGCCCATATCTTTTGGCACATTAGCAGATAGCATTTGAGATATTCTAGTGGATCCATTTGCCAGATGTACAAGTGGCATAATGGTTTGCATCTCAGAAATGGATTTTCATTTTTTTTTTTTGTCAGGTTTGTCACACATTCCTAAAATCACCGCATCCTCTAACCATTTTAGTTTGGAATCCTGGTAAAATAGACACCAAGGTTATTTTGCCAGTCCCAGTAAAATAGACCTCTCTTTGAAGATACTGTGGAATAAAACCGTTCTTCAATACCAACAGCATTTCTGGATAAAAATGTTTCAATCCAGAAGATCAGTAGACATTTTGATCCAGATAGTTGGAAAGCAGTACAACATATTTATGGAGCTGGGAGATGGTCAGCACACTGGTCGTGTGAACTGTGTAGGCAGGACTTGAACAACATGGATTCTATGGTCTGTGGCTGTTGTCTTCAGTGGGTGCACCTGAAGTGTATTAGCAAGAAAATCAAGCCCAAGGGCAAGTTTTGGATTTGCAGAGACTTATGCCTGAAGTGCTTAAAATATTCAGAGACCTATATTTCTTTTAATAATTGATGATGAATAAATGATTTTAACTTGTGTTTTAACAATTGATGGTGGAAATAAATATAGTTCTATGTTAAATCTGCATGTTGTTATTTTTAACATTACCTGCCTTCATAATAATAAAAATATTTACCAGGGGATCTGTTTTACTGAGACCAGTAAAATAAGCTTAAAAGCATATTTGCCTATTTTACCAGGACTGGTAAAATGAGCTTAAAAGCATGTTTGTCTATTTTACCATGATCGGTTAAATAGCCTCTTCCTTTTTAGATTTTGGGTTTCATATAATTTTTTTTTCATTGTACACAAACATGGTAAGTCTTAAAATTATTTATTATTTTTTTTTTAAATAGGTTGTTTATCAACTGATTAGTTTTCTACGGCTTAATCCTTTGTAGGTTAAACCCAGAAAATACAGAGGGTCCCCCCAAAAACTGACATTGTAATATCTGTTACAGAAGAGTGGCTATTAGTAGAGTGCAAATTTGATTTGATGACCAATCAGTTGTAAAAGGAAGCTGGAAGAATCAACAAGAAAGGAATGATGTGCTGGTGGCTGGACATGCACAAATTAATCTTCATTTTGCAGATCAGTTATTTGTATAGAGTTATTGATTGGTATTCAATACCGGCTGGCATGGTTGTCATCTGGAAATGATTTTATCTGTTGTGGGTCCTAACGGCCTATTAAAATCCTTCTCCCCATTGATATATATCTACATATATATCTGGTTTTGCTTCTGAAGGTAGTGCTTCCTGCCTCTGCTGATTCAAGTTGATGTCCATGTCTTGGTAAATGTAAGTATTGTGAAAAGCAATTTTTGAAATAGGCTTGCTCTTTCAGCTTAGGATTTTGCTGTAATAAATCTGTTGTCTTGCTTAATAGTAAGTGAATTCATGTGGAAATTAGAATTTGAAAAAAAGAAAGAAAAAAAAAGAAAGAAAAAAAAAGATAAAGAAAAACCACATTCTCTGTATAATCCCATATGCATGGTGTCTCCACTCAAATTTATATCATTTTGTAATCTAATGTAGCCAATTCTTACTCAAATGATCTCAAATTTTAACAAAATGTGTAAAAACTATCTAAGCTGACTGTGTGGAATTATCTCAATGTGAGTCTACTGGGAAGATGGATCAGGTGTGCCAATGATGATGACAATGTACTGTTGAAATGGCTACCATGTTCACCTGACTTGACACCTTGTGATTTTTTTTTCTATGATGCTATGTCAAAGGACAGGTTTATATCCCCCACCCCTCTTCCTACAAACCTAGAGGAACTTAAGCAGAGAATCTCTGAGGTGCTGGAGAATGTTATGCAAGACATGCTACAGCGTGTTTAGCAGGAGCTGGACTACTGACTTGACATGTGTCATGTCACAGGTGGTGTGCATATTGAACATTTGTAAAGCTTTGGAAAATCTGTTATAAAATCTACATCCCTTTGAAGATATAGTTTGAATTTTGACGAATCTTTTATTGTTCAACATGAAACCTATATAATTTTGTTTGCCTGGGACATGTAGTTACTCAGATGTCCCGATTTTAAATTATGCCAATTTTTGGGGTACATCGCATATTTTTAGATTGTAAGAATTTTTCGTTTTTTTGAGATAATAATTTAGTGATGAAAGTTTTACTAATTAACCCATAGATGGGAGGAAGAAGAGGTGGATTCATAATTAATCAAACAAACTTTAATGTAACTTTAATACATAATGAACTGAACTTGAATTGAAACTCAGCTCTCCGATTAACAATTCCAAACCATTATCCATTACACCACCCACACTTCAAAGCTTACAGCGCTTGGTATTCTCAAGTGGTCACCCATCAAAGTAATGACCAGGCTCAACAGTGGTAAACTTCAGTGCTCATACAAGAACCAGTGTTTCAACCTGATATGGCCATAAGCATTTTAAAACAGGAATCTTAAATTTTTATCTTTAAATGGAAAAGTGTGTGTGTGTATATATATATATATATATATATATATATATATATATATATATAGTGAAAGGAATTAATATGTTTAAGTATTTCTCTATATTATTAAATATTAGTATAGAGTAATTGATCATGGTTAATTGTAATTAGCAAAAATGCTCAACTAGCTGAACTGACAAAGCTCACAATAAACAATGAAAAAAAGGAAGAAAAAGAACAGAGAAAAATAATATGAAGCAAACACTATATATGCAAGTCAAAACTAGGCAAAGCAACAGTAATAAAACAAAAAGTAAGAATTGTGTTCACATGTAGAAGTGAAAAGTGATTATAGACCAAGAATTGTCCATATTTATTGGTTAGAAGAAATCTCGGCATACATCTGTAGGATTAGTCTATAAATTTAGAAATGAGGATATTTTTAGCAGTCATTCCAATGGATTGGGAGACATTATGAACAGCACAAATTTTTATATCATGGAGTGTTTAGTAGGTCCCTTGTGAATATGTGGTATTGTGGTACATGTAGTATTGGGAGGTGATGGACAAGTTCTTGTAGTGATTGAGCATATTGTATTGCATGAAAGGGTTGTGATTGTGATTAACTAGGACTAGGATAGTTATTGAGTACCAGACTTTCTCCATTTCCCCTTTGGCCTTGTGCTACAATTTTGTATTTAAATATGAAATAAATAATCATTCCTACCAGAGTGGAGCCAATGATTAGGTTGAATCGTAAGTAATTTCTATTTTGGGGGAATCAATTGTAATGACAAATGAATCATCCTAACTGTAAATCATGCTTGGCAGTTAAGAATGAATTTGAAGTACACTTAGTTTTTGCAAAGCAATGTTATCATACACAGGTGATTAAAAGGAAAAAAAATCTCTTACATGACAATGCAATTTTTACATACAGTAAAAATAAAGCATGAAAAAATTTGGAACTCAATTGATCACTTCTGACCCACCCTCAATATTCACCTGACCTTGCACTAACCTTTTTTGATTGCTGCAAAACACTTTGATAGGGAAAACTTTCTTTAATGAAAATCAACTTAAACAGTTTGCTGAAAACATGTTCATGTCAAAACCTGTGGAATTTTACTCAAAAAGGTATCAAACAGCTGCCTGTTAAATGGCAACAGGTTATTATAAATAATGGTGCATATATAATTGAATAAAATGGAATTGTACTTTATTTTTCAAAGAATAAAGTTTATAAACAAATTATGGCACCCTAATAAAACAATCTAACTGGGCGTGTGTTGAGTGACAAAAAGTATGGGTTCTTACTTGGAAAGGATACAGGATGGCTTGTAATGTCAATAAAATTTCTTTGAAAAAGTAATCCCATGTTTCTGATAGTTTATCGAGTAATGCAGCACCTGAAACATAGATGTCAAATAGTAAAAACCTGAAAATAGAAATGTTTAAATGAACTCACCAACACTACTTATATACAAGAAACTTAAAACCAGATGAGATCTTAAGGCACACATGCTACTAATATGATGCAAAGGTGCATTGGAATCAAGAAAGATGCCTCACAAAAACTAAGCAAAGTATTAAGACATAAGAAAATACAAAGAAAAGAGTGTTTAACAATTTATCCTTCTGTATGGTAGTGAATTTTGGACAATTTCCTCATGGCTTTTTTTTTTTTAACAGTGATTTTCACCCTGTATATAGCCCTGGAGACACTTGAGATACATGGTTACAGAGGCACAGTTTATGTAGATATATAGAGAAGATAACTATTAACCCTAGGCTTGAATTGGTTAAGAGTGTAGTCATTTGGAAAACCTCCTTTTGGGAGTTGGTTTCCACAGAGTGGTTGGGGGCTACTTTCTACCAATTGAATAAGGAGGGAAAAGAGACTCAAAATAACTGATGTAGTTCTACAAACGGATACTGAGAACACCGTGGGCAGAAAATGAAAATTAGAATGATACTATTTAAAATAAAAAAAAAAATTAATTTCAGAGACACATTACAAGAAAGGAGCGGCTCGGAAAATTTAATATACACAGGACAGAGTGAAACAGTTAACAACTTACTTTAATGAGTGTGTGTGAATGAATGACAGAAAAGAGATAACGAGGAATAGTAAAGAATCAAATGTTGCTTTGAGCTACAAGAAGTTGTGAAGAGCCATAATCACCAACATCGTGAAGAGCCACTGTGCATAAATGATAAAGTGGCTTTTACTTGTTCAAACCAGAGCTGATATTTGTAAAAGCTGATTGAATATCCAACCTAAAATTGAAGTTACAATTTACTCTTATTTGATAAGACATAGTGCATCATTGTGAAAGAGGAGAGTAATTTTGACTTGATTATAGTAGCACTCAACTCAGTGCACCATCTGTGTCCAAGATTCAGATGGTGATATACTGTGATAAGATTCATTGTGATGAAAGGTTCAGGGCAATCAAGTGTCATTTCAGAGAAAGGCATACATGATCCTTTATTTCAAGAGATGTCAGATAATGATGAAGCACATAATGATCAACATACAAAAAAAAGATGGAGTACATTTTAAATATCTTCCTGAAAAATAAACTTTCTTACATTTTGAAGATCTGTTTTAATATTTGGGAACTTACAATAAAAAGGAGATAAAAATGGCTCTGTAATCTTTTTGTCGGTGCTATTTGAAGTTGAATGTCAGAAAAAAAAAAATAGGTAAGATATGGCAAAAAATTGTCTGAATTTTATGGAGGGTCCCCAAATCCATTTGATATAGGTCATTTTTTAAAAAGAAAATCAAGTTAAACCTATCACTAATAACATTCATTTAAACAAAATTCCAATGATTTTCCTACTAAAAAGTGGCAGAAAAAGCAACTATCCAGAATTATTTAAAAAACAGATCATTAAACATGAATTTTGCTTAACTTCAAAATCATAACTTGACACATTCTTGGAGTTCAGACAAAGATCAGTTCTGAAATTCTAAGACTGTCTACTTTCAGACTAGATATAGAACATATCCCTTAGGAAATGTTTCAAAAATGCCAAATGTCTGTTAGCAAGCCTCTGTGCACAGCAGAAACAGTCATGGAAGGTATACTATATTCAATGATAATTATGAATTAGCTTCTCAGGAACATTAATTACTAATTAGATCTTATCTTAAAAGCATCTCCATGTAATTATTGGCATACTTTTTTGTTTTTATCTAGTTTCAAGAAAAAAAACAATTATTTTGGGTTGATCTACAAAGAGATAATTTTACAGAATTTTCTTTTTAACTGGTAGGAAAACTAAAATACATGTAGTGCTCTGCAAGACTTGATTACACTATTAATGTGTAGTGAGTAAAGACTATTTGAGCAGACAGATAAATTTGCTTTTTGTTGGCAGGTTTGCCAAGAGAAAACCAATTGCTTTTCTTTCTTCTTCTTGTTTTGGCTAATGAGATAAAATGTCTTGGAGGTAAAATGTCTTAACATAAGACTTAATTAAATGTGTAGTAAGCAAAATGTTTTGGAAGAAAAAAAAAATCAGATACTTGGGCTTTAAAAGCCAAGTACAAAGCTTCAATCTAACTTACAAAAAAAAAAAAAAAAAAGTTTCAGAACATACTCACAGCCTAAAGATAAAAAAAGAATCTAAGGTAGGTACCTTGAAAGAGACACTAAAAAAAAAAAAAAAAAAAAAAAAAAATGAGCATACATGATGTAAAAATGCTCCAAACTAAATAAAACCAGTTTTATCATTAAAATCTTTATTATTAAAATACCTCTTATTTGAAGTGACAAGATTGTAAATACACCCATTTAACACAGTAGGCAATAAAACACCAAATAAGCAGGTGTTGATAACAATCATTTACAAAAGGTATTTGATATGCTGGCAATATTTGTTCTTGGAATCAGTATTATTGAACATTTTTTTTTTGTCTCAAAGACAGAAAATTCACCAAAATTGATTAAATATACCTTTTATTTATATACTCACACACACACACACATATATATATATATATATATATCTCAGAGAGAACATATTCTGCTTTGGGTAATTTATTTTTGCCATGCAAAAATGTTGTTTTGAGGTTCAAAATATAATATTAAAAATAGTTATTTTCTGGGTGATTACTGCAAATTTAAGAGATTGTGGCATCAAAACTGAAAACTTTAGTAATGAAATATATAATTTAAAAGCCCTTAACATTTGATAGCCATAACTTTTGACAGGGTAACAATAAGAACAAAATTTTAAAAAGTCTCTTAAAGCTACGGTTTTTAGATTCACTAAGCATACAATTGTGAAAAAAAATGCCCCAAACTTAATAAAAAAGTTTTATTATCAAAATCTTCATTAAGAGGAAAGACAAAAGGATTTATTAAATTATTTTTATGCTTTTAAGAACATTTGAAATTTTGTTTTTCTTGTGCTAACAGGGAGACCAAAGATTAGTATAGGAAATTTTAGCAACTTTTGTCTGGTGAAAAACACAATGATTTGGAAATTCTTGCTAAAATCTAATAATTGTACCTTTTAGTCAAATGCATTAAGTTAAAATTATGATGAAGAACTTGCAAAAAGAAGATATTAAGTAATCAACTGACTAATCTATATATTAATATCGGTACCTCTAAAGTTTCACTAAAAAACAAACATATATGATTAAAAAAAAAAAAAAAAAAAGACCCAAACTTAGAAAAAAAAAAGTTTTGTCAAAATCTTTGTTATTATTATTATAAAAGGGAAGACAAAGTTTTTTTCGTTATTAAATTATAATTCTTTAATCTTTTTTCGAAGTTTCAGAATTTTGGTTAAAAATTTTGCTTTACTTGCATCAGCAGCGGACCATAAATTAGTACAGAAAATTTTAGTGCCTTATAGTGAAAAACACATTTGGAAATTCTTGTAAAAATCAGATAATTGTCAAAAAAAAAATTCAAAATGTTGTCAGCTTAAATGGCCTTTGATGCAACAGGTATTTTGTCTCAGTCAAATCTACTGTACAATGAGGAAAAACTTAAAAAATACAGAAATTATCACCTTTTAAACTTTTTAGGGATTCACGCAATATCACCATGCCTTTCTTGAGCAGTTGGTCCTAGAAATAAAATGAAAAATAATTTTTTTGAAAATGCAAATGAAAATTTCTATGCATGTATATACATATTTTTTTCAAATTAAAATCTACCAAAACTAACTCTACAATCAAATAATTACCCTTCTACACACTGATCCATTAATGATTTTATATGGATGGAAACTGGAGAAATAAATATACTGATAGTAAAATTACATTTTATCATCTGCATAATTCCAGAAAAGTGGTGGGAAAAATGAGAGCTTTTTAATGGATAAAACAGACATATTTAACTGGGATAGAATGACTGTTGAGAATAGACGGTTTGTGAATATTAAAAGACAGAAATTGCATAAACTGTTAAATGTGTCTTTTAAAGATACTTTATAGAACAAAAACTATTTTTTTTTTTAAATAATGCTTTCATTGACATGTTTTCATTTGATCAGATTTCAAAAATATGGTAGTGGATTCAGTCCTCTTCTGTCTTGGTGTTGGGTAATGTTTAACAAGTGAGCCTGGTTGATCAGTTTAAGAGAATAGGGAGAATATACACACACTATTTGAATAAAATTAAAATGGGCACCTGTGTCCAGAGGGTTAATTTTACTGTCTGGCAAAAAAGTACAAATCAAAATGTCTGAGATGAGGGGCTTCGAAGTCAGTTTTAGGACTCCTTTTGCACTTGAACTGGTTATATTAGGTTGTCCAGAAAGTCCCAACTTGGGAAGTGGAAAGTAAACAAAATTTTATGGAGCAACACCAACATTTATTCTTCAAAATAAAGTCCATCATTCTCAACAATCTTCTACCAAAGATCAGCATCTGAATCTGTCCCAGATACCAGTCCGCTGGCTTTGAATCAAAAAAACTAAACAAATCACCGGTTGCAGAGAAAATGTGCCATTGAACAGAATAGGCCATAGTCAATCAGAGCAACATCAGGATTGAATGGTGGATGTGGAAGAATCTCAACATTGTCCATCTGTTTGAACTTCCCCTTGGTCAACCTGGCACTGTGTAGTCTTGCATTGTCTTGCTGAAACAAAACTCAGTCTTGATTGACCAAAGCAGGATACTCCTTTTGTTTGTTGTACATATGATTTAGTTGCTTACAATACAGTTTAACATTGATGATAGGACCATGTGAAAATCTCAAAATGCAGTCAGTCATTTATGTGCCATGCAATCAATGTATCTTTTGACACATGACCGACGTGGCAGAATTTTTTCCCACAGTAGGTAGTCATTTTTTTCTGTGGTAAACCAGTTGCCATCCAAGGTTACAGAACCTGGTCTGTCCTGCTATTTACTCATAGCTGGGAGGGAGAAGAGGATTCATACCTTTCCCAAGGGTATTATCACATAAGTAAATGTAATGGATTTGAGTGGTATTCGAACTTGGCTCTCTGATTCCTCAATCTGAGCTACTATCCATTACTCCACCATACCACCACTGAAATGTAGTACTCCTTGGAAATTCCACAAGACAGATCAAGATTTGTCATTTTCTTTCTGCTTTCTAAGTGAGTCAGGACATTTTGGCCAACCTAGTATTTACCAATAAATGTAATATGAAAGTGGGCTGGAATGTTTATAGGCTGACAATGTAGGAATGATGCTAGAGCTGTGAAATTACAACTCTTTATTAATAACCCTCATTGTTTCTTTTTTAGATAAACTGATATCTGCCTATTCAAATAATGATTGCTACATTAGGGGATGACGCTCCAGCATTATCAACAGAGGAAAAGTGAGCACCTGAATTTAGGAGGGCAAAGGAAGATTCTTGATGATGACCCAAGGTTTAAAAGTCTTGCAGCTGCCACCACCAAAGAAAATATTGATAGTGTTCGCTACATGGTGAGGGATGACAGGTGATTTACTATAAATCAAATAGCCAATGCTATCAGCAGATCCTGTCAGAGACCTGAGAATATTCTGCATAATGAACTTGACATGACAAAGGTTTTTGCTCAGTGAGTGACATGTCTTCTGATACCTGATCAAAAGTGCAGCAGGATGGTATTTATCAATTCACCCACAGGAAATGAATGTGGCACAAGGCCTTTTTAATGTGGGTATGTCTGAGCCCGTAGGCCCAGCCAAAAATAAAACCCATCTAAACCCGTACAAGCGGGCTAGTTCAAATCAACCTCCCGAGCGAAACCCCACCCTTCGGCAGAGAGCCGTCCGGGTTCTCTCTGCAAGCAGAGAGTTCGACAGACACCCGACCCGGCAGCTCACAAAGCGCAGATACTACACTTTGATCCTAGCCACCGGGCCGAGCGGGTATTCTTTTTTTAGATACAAGTGCACCAGGATGAACACATCAATCTGACATTGAGACAGATCCAGCTAGTTTTCTTGAAGATTTCCTAATCCAGGATGAGTGTTGGGTTCATCACTGATTCAGAGACAAAGAGACACTCCATGTAGTCGAAACGCTCCTGCTCACCTGCACTAAAGAAAGCCAAGGTTGTTTCATCTGCAGGGAAGGTGATGGCCTCAGTGTTTTTTTATACAAAAGGCATTGTGTTTATTGACTATCTTCAAAAGGGCCACATCATCAATGGAGAGTGCTATGCCAACTGATTAAGGCCAAACATCCAGGAAAACTGATGAAAGGGGTCTTGTTTAATCAGAAAAACACTCCAGCACACAAGTCTTTGATTCTAACTTCAGCTGTGCATGACTTTGGTTCTTAATTGGTTAATCCCTCCCTATTCTTTGGATTTGGTCCATCTGACTATCATCATTGATTGGGAACAACAGTATTACAATGATGATGGCATCATATCCACTGTTGATGAATTTCTTGACCAACAGGATAAAAGTTTCTTCACCAATGAGATGCAAGCACTGCAACACCGTACGGAAGAGGTGTGTGGAGAGCCAAAATAACTATGTTGAAAAATAAACCTCATTTAGTCATATTCTATGAGAGTATTTTGGTCAGCTTATGAACTTTTCAGTTGACCCTTGTAGAGCGAGACCAGATTTAAAATTAATAAACAATTTAGATTTGATCATCTTGTAATCAATGAAGTAAACTTGTACCAACAACAGAATTTATGTTTGAGCTTCAAATTAGATACATCAGAATCAAGTATAGAAATTTACAGGATTATATAACGACAGACAATGTACACCTTATACAAGATTTGCAATGACGTTCACCCTGTACAAGGCTCAAGAGCCACTCGAGGTACAGGAGTAAGAGCTAGAGAGAAAGTGACACTCCATGCAGTGGAAACGCCCCTACTCAACTGCTCTAAAAAAAGCTAACGTTGTTTCATCTGCAGGGAAGGTGATGGGCTCAGTTTTTTTTTTATGCAAAAAGCATTGTGTTTATTGACTATCTTCAAAAGGGCTACACCATCAATGGAGAGTACTATGCCAACTAGCTGATTAAGGCCAAACATCAAGAAAAACTGATGAAAGGGGTCTTGTTTAATCAGGAAAATGCACCAGCACACCAGTCTTTGGTGCCAACTTGCTGTGCATGACTTTGGTACTTAATTGATTGATCACTCTCCCTATTCTTTGGATTTGGCCCACCTGACAATCATCATTGAATGGGAACAGTATTACAATAATGATGGCGTCATATCTGCTGCTGATGAATTTCTTGACCAATGGGATAAAAGCTTTTTCACCAATGAGATTCAAGCTCTGCAACACTGAGGGAAGAGTTGTGTGGAGAGCAAAAATAACTATGTTGAAAAATAAACCTCATTTGGTCATATTCCATGAAAATATCTTGGTCAGTTTGTGAAGTTTTCAGTCACTCCTCATATTTAAAATTAATAAACAATTCAGATTTGATATTTGATCATCTTGTAATCAATGAAGTTAACTTGTACCAACAACAGAATTTATGTGTCAGTAAGAGAAGCAATCAAAGGTTTGAGCTTCAAATTAGATGCATCAGAATCAAGGAAGTATAGAGATTTACAGAATTATATAATGACAGACAACATACATCTTGTACAAGATTTGCAATGATGTCCCCCCTGTACAAGGCCAAAGAGCCACTCGAGGTACAGGGTTACAGAGTAAGAGGCATAATTTATGGGAATAATGTTTGATCCTAGAATTTAACAGGTTATAATTGTAATGATTGGGAAAGCATCCTCTTTGGAGTCAGTTTCACAAAGAAGGTGTTTGTGAGAAAAAGCTGCTTGAATGAAACTTACATCTCACCAATAGAATTTGAAGGGAATGAGTTTGGCTTGCTACAATGTGCATGGCAGGTCTTAGCCATGAAGATTAAAATTGGTGAAAGTAAGGAATAGAGTTTATCTGAACACTTTCTACGGGAATAGAAATAGAGAGTGACTAGCAAGGTTTCATCTAATGAGAAAAGGGTTGTAGGGTGGAAGTTAATTCATCACCCACAATGACATGGAGATGCTTTTGGACTATTGAGACTTGAAAGGGAAGACTAGGGACCTTCTGCCAATATATGGCAGCAGTACCTCAAACTCACACCTGACCTCAAGTGGAATTCCTATATACGATCCATCGCCAAAGATGCAGGTAAAATGATCAGCTTCCTCTGCTGCTCCAGTAAGTACCAGACTCCTCAAGCCATCCTCTACCTTTATAAGAGCCAGATCAAGCCAATAGTGAAGAACTGTTGTTATATTTGGGTGGGAGATGCTCAGACCTCACTTTTCAGTCTTGATAGAATTCAAAAGCATCTCAGAGTCCTTGAATTATTTTCCACGCTCCAACATCTCTCTCACAGGTGGGATGTGGTGAATCTCACACTGCTTTATCACTATGGAAAGTAATTGGACGAACAGCATCTCCTGGTTCCACCATGTCAAACCTTCACGGCTAGGACCTGCCACTTACATAGTAGCAAACCATTCACATTCCATCTGTATTCTGTTGGCGGGAAATAAGTGCCATTCAAACAGCTTCACCCTGTGAACTACTGCCCTATGGAACAGACTTCCAAGAGGATGTTTCTCCAATCTCTATAATCTTAATCCTGTTCAAATTTAGAGTTAAACGTTATCTTCCCTCCCTATGCATATAAACTACACCTTATTGTAATCCTCTACATCAAGTGGCCCTCCTGAGCTTTGTACAGGGTAAAAAAAAAAAAAAAAAAAAAAAAAAAAAAATTAAGTACTCCATTTTTGGTACAGGATAGTAGGAGGAGTCATTTACTGGATCAGTACAGGGAACCGACCCTTTTTCTAGCATCTTTAATGATGCATCATATGTACAAGTTCCACTTGGGGTCTGGGTCAAGTTTAAGTTCCAAGGCACAAGGCATCCCTGAAAGAACACACATACATCATAATCAGTCAAAGTTCTAGGTCTGTTCAGTGATAATAGAATGTTGCTAGTTTGGTTTTCATGGCATTGAATGTGACCAGCCAGTCTCCCCCACTCCACACACCTACTGAGCTGTTAGCGCTAGGTCAGATGAGAGATCAGTTGCCAAGCCTTGGTCATTTAGAGTTTTGGAGGTGCACCCATATACAGTTGTATCAACAGCATAGATATTCACAAATGAGCATACTCTAAGGCAGATCATTTATGTAATGTAGAAAAAGTTGGACCAAAAAGTGAACATTGGGGAACACCCATGTTGATTGCTTGGGCCTCGAAAGACTTCAGGATCCTACCCATTATGGAAGAACTTATGGAATTTAAAAGACTGCCAGTCATCCCATAGCTAGAGAGCTTGTGCAGTAAATCTTTAGGCCACACCTTGTCAAAGGCCTTTGAAATATCAATGAGATCGTCCTTGAGATATATTTGTCTCACTGATTCTGAGAGTAATGGTAGTTAGAATATCAGCAGTGGAGCCAGCCATATTATGTCACAGAAATATTTTATTAGTATCAAAGAAAAGAGTGCTGAACTGTTAGCAAAGCAACAGGAACAAACTGATAGTTAATATTAAAAATAGATCAATTATAACAATATACTATGATAAATGTTATATAATGGATAAATGACTCATTCAAATGGTAGATCTTAGCGACTTCAGTATAGAGTTTTGGTTTCATTGTGTTGTTCTATGACACATGATCACTAGTCAACTTCTGCTTGTCTCTTACTTTGCTGTACACTTTATATCTCTTCTACTCAACATATGCAAATAGGTACAATCCTATTTACCAATCCACTACACCTCCCTGAAGTGAAGACATTTAATGTCTTTAGTTGTTCTTGAACTTCTTCTACAACCTCTTCCTTCCTCTCCCCCTTAAGGTTCAGGTGCTTTTCTTTTTAATGGAGATCTTAGTCTCATTTCATTTTCTTTCATGTCTGAGTCACTCCCACTATCACACATAGGATTATCTTCTATTGCATTATCCTGATTTGAAGAACTCATCCTTTCTTCTCTGTCAAGATCTTCCATCACAAGGTCTTCCTCTTCAATTCTGGATCTTAATTGGTCAGAATGGGCCATTAAGCTTATTCCCTTACTGTGATATAATGGTCAGATTATGTCTCATTTGCATGGTGAACATAACTCTCTCAGGACTTGCTATTTTGTCTTTCTTATAGCACAGTTTTCTTATAGAGTCAAAAGTATTTGTTTTTTTCATTAAAAAGGAAATTTAGTGATTAGCTACTTCAGTAATCAAATGTGTATGTTTTTTTTACAGGAACATTCTATTGTATATGAAATAATAGTGGTAAAAAAAAAAAAAAATACATGCACAAAATAGACTAACTGATTTGTAAAGCAAGATGACATTTATTAGACAAATTAACAAAACGAAAGTTTAAAACGAGAGTTTCCTTTCTTAAACAAAATGTTCATGAATACATTATAGTCGAAGCTTACTGTGTTTGTGTGCTTAGTGTTCACAGCCCTTTTAGCTTCAGCATGAAAAGTTCATGAAACCAGTTTGAAAGAGGAAAAACCAAAAAGAGACAGAGTTACTTTAGGGTTTACATATTTTAATAGTCAACAGCTGCTGCTGACATGAATTTTATTTTAAAGCTGCTACTGCTATTATGTTTAAGGTCACTACAGAAGCCCTTTGGCATATCCAAATTGCCGGTATCATTATTCCTGTGTTTTGAGACCATTATCAAGTGAAACATTTTTTTCTGGAGCTGATGTCAAATAATTGAATCCATCACAAGCAAAGTTGTAATTACATAAACAGGAACCAAGTAATGACAAAAAATAAATCACAACTCTTTTAATCACATTTTTACCTAGATGTAGGATTCTTGCAGTTGTTGTCCTTTTATTTCTACAAGAAAATATATTAAATAGCACTATCTCATCTCTGAGCCTATTATTTTTTTTTTTTTTTATTGATTACCAATTAAAAACTTTTCCCTTTACAAGTGAAGTGATAATATTAATCCACAATATTGTTTAGCATTTAGCAAACAACCATGAAGCTAATGCACAATTAACAAGTCAATTGTGCAACTGGGGATCAGTGAGAGTTGATAAATTGAAATAATGTAGGCATTTTTGTTTTGCTTAGTTGAATATAACAAAGAAATAAAGTTTCAGATGATAGTCAAGGAAGGAAGGAAAAGGAATTAGTCTAAGAAAAATAAAGTAAACTTACCTTGAAAAAATCATAAATAATTGGGCCTGTGTCAGTCCTGATTAAACGCCTGAAAATGTACAAATATTATTGATCAAGATGATAAAAAGATAGGTAGCCCCCCAAAAAATATATATATATGTATTTAAAAGAAAAACAGACCACTTTAAGGTACCATTACAATAATTTATTTCACCAGAGTCCTTTTAAAAAGACGACGGATCATCAGATAGCACTTCCAACAACGAAATGAAAAATGAAATTAAAATTGATGGGTAGTGTAAGTTTTTGTAATTTAACAGGGGGTGTGAGAGGGATAGTTAAAGAGAGATGGTAGAGTATAGGGAGGAGTTAATTTCATATCTCTCTCAAGTGTACTTTATATTGGGTAGACAGTCAGTTGTCTATATATATATATATATATATATATATATATATATATATATATATATATATATATATATATATATATATATATATATATATATATATATATATATATATATATATATATATGACAATTGACTGCTACTACTAACTACCTTTCTTACCAAAACAAAACATCATGACAATAAATGACCAAAGATATAAACCTAAATCAGCTAAACAAAAAACACCTAAACTCCTGAACCTTTCTTTCCCCAACATTAATGGTATTCGTACAAACTTCTGTAGTGTTGAATCATTCCTCTGAAAAGTCTTCCATACATCCTAGTTCTCTGTGAAAGTAATCTCAACTCTTCAATCTCCTCCTCTGATTTCTCAATTCCTGGTTACCTTTCTCTCTTTAGAAAAGACTAATGTCCACATGCATGGCATGGGTATTTATTTCCATGAACATCTCCCACTGGCTAGTGATCTCTCTGTTGAATCTCCAGACCATTCTTACATGTGTCTCAGTCTCTCTCTATTTAACTCAGTGAGCTACCTCTTCTTTCTCTACCATTCCCCTTCCTCTCAAGACTGTTGTGTGTTAGTATTTCTGTCTGATAATATAAAGGCCATCTCCCTACACCCATTTGCAAACATATTCATGTTCAGTTAAGCACTTAAAAATGGTCTAATGGTTAGCAAGCTTGTCTCACTAGATCAATTATAACCGAGTAGAGAGTTTGGGCATCACTGGATGCCCCATACTTCCGGCCTTGTGCCACATCTAAGCTATGCTTGGAAAATAACCATATTCATATTTGGTGACTTTACTGCCCACCATACCATAAAAACTTCTCCACAATCAATCTCTTACACAAGTGGTTGACTTCCCCACACGTTTCCCCAGTAACCCTCATGGACATGCAGCAATGGTTGTATGACACAGCTGCCTTTGGTCTGGAAATGCAATCTGAGAGAGCCATGCAGTCTTGCATCCATTACCATTTTTACATAAAAAAATCATATCTGCATGTTCACGATATGAGTATGGCATTGTTAAACAAAACATTTCTCGGTTAACTCACTACTACACACATTAAATGTTAAAGACAGTCTAGCCACAAATGTACATGAATAACAAATGTAACCTAGTGTACATGGGTATACAGCTCTATCTCTTGTAATCTTTCTTTAAACTTAATAACTTGAAAATGAAGGATTTGCAGACATGTTTATATTGGTGTGAGGAACCCATTCCAAATTATTTTTGATACACACACACACACATATATATATATAAAATGAATATAGAAGTCAACACTTAGAGGCAACAGTCTGTTTCATGCTAGATGCATTCGTCATGCCACAACTGCATCTAGCATGAAATAGACTGTCGCCTCTAAGTGTCAACTTCTGTGTTCACTTTTATATTTACACATGCTCTATCTCTGATATTGAGCACTTTATCCCATAAATATAGCACAACTTAAGACTATATATATATATATATATATATATATATATATATAAATAAATTGGCATATAGCTGAGTGATTTGCTTTCTGACCATAAGACCCAGGTTCAAATCACATCACTGTCAATTTGTCAAGGTGACTTTGATGTTATTGACCTGAGGTGATGGTACCAGCATGCAGCACCTTTGGAAGTGCATGAAAACCATATCACATGCAAGTGAATTTGGATAGGTCTAACTATTTGGGAGCCATCAATAGGTGAGCTAGCATGAAGTCGCAAATCATTGATTGGGGGGTTAGAGCATACAGGCCTTGATCAAACTGTTCATCATGCCAGACAATGCACTCTCTCCAATAAACAGTAACTAAGGTCCACTCAGTATAGTTACAGTATAAACTACAGGTAAGCTCTGTAGGTGTTGAACAATAACAAATGTGCTTGAGCAGGCACCTGCAGTATGGATTGGCCAGCCTTCCTAGCAGACAGGCATACTCAGATATGAGTGGCCAGTCATTATTTATTTTAGGAAAGTTAATGACAAAGTGGAAAAATATTATTGTGACACATTTTATCCTTTAAGACTTCATTAGACTGAAGTGATATTTACGATGATGTAACTGCACATATACATGAAGGAGAGAGTGATGCTAAAATTTTAAACCTTTAAATTTAATTTTTTTTTAGTGCTAAAGTGCTAAAGGATGAAACGCATGACAGGAGATGTTTTTTTCCATTTGTCAATTTCAAAAACATGTATGCAAACATTTATAGTATATAAAAATTTATTCATCATTTCCTTCCATATATATAATGGAAGAGAAATAAGAAAACATCAGGTACATGAGAAGGAGAGTAAACAGGAGGAGGAGGAGAGTAAACAAGAGAAACTGTGGGAATTTGAAATCAGTTATTCTAGCAATAAAGTCATTTCTCACCCCTACCCTGTCCCATTAAACAAAACATGGTTTAACAGTAATCACTTCTTAAAATCAAATCAGCACTATTGTCCACTGTAAGGAGACAAGTGCTCTCTCTATAACACTAGATATTGTGTGTGTATGTATATATCACACACACACATATATATATATATATACATATATGAATGCATGCAATAAATATGTAAAGTATAAAAAGATTTGAGGAATTTGAACTGTGTGGGTGAATGAAATGTATTATATACTTTTTCCGACTGCCTTTTATAAGCAGTGCACTTTATGAAATACAAGTGGACTATTTCAAAGAAGGCAACAGAAAGTAGGTGGGAGTGTCAATTGGTTTTACAGAGTAAAAGAAATAAAAAAAAAATTCAACAACAACAAAATGAATGCTCACAATGACTTGCTAGACACATGCAACGTGCTACCCAAAACTTTAGAGAATTTGACCATGAAAATGAAAAAAAAAATTTCCCCCACCCACCCCAAAAAAAAAAGTTTCGCTTGAAGATGGAACAGAGCTTGGTACTTTAATTCAAATAATTATATTGAAGTTTTCGGCTCTTGTTTTGAAACATGAGAATTCTTATGTAGTGTGTTGGAATCATATTTTTAAATAAATAATTATATTTATGCTCTACTTTTTGTATCGAGCACTATTTTTTAAAAATAATAACAAAAATACTAAAGAACTTTGGATTATTTACCTAACAAGTTCTTTCCTATTTTCTATATATTTTTCACATATATGTGTAAGTCCTAATAAGCAAAGTATTTATCTTACTCTAAATATTTTTTTAATCTGAACCCAATACTTCTCCATTGACCATGTAGATAAAATTTTAGCTGTCTTTGTCAGGCTATAGATTTATTGATCTACTCATATTTTATATATATGCATGCATACACACAAAAATGTGAGAACATTATCATTTAACCTGACAAGAAAAGAAAATAAATGAAAAAGAAAATAAATGAAAAAGAAAATAAATGAAAAAGAAAATAAATGAAAAAGAAAATAAATGAAAAAGAAAATAAATGAAAAAGAAAATAAATGAAAAAGAAAATAAATGAAAAAGAAAATAAATGAAAAAGAAAATAAATGAAAAAGAAAATAAATGAAAAGAAAATAAATGAAAAGAAAATAAATGAAAAGAAAATAAATGAAAAAAAGAAAATAAATGAAAAAGAAAATAAATGAAAAAGAAAATAAATGAAAAAGAAAATAAATGAAAAAGAAAATAAATGAAAAAGAAAATAAATGAAAAATACTCAATAGAATATTAGAATTTTGGCAGAAACAATAAAAGTATAGCATTGAAGTAGTCTATGAGATTGAATAAATCTAGCAATTGTGTGAAATTCAAATATGCATTCATAATTCTGTCCAGATTAAAAGGGATGTTCACCATCATAAAAGAGAGGAAAATAGCCAGGAACAGCATTAGGCAGTGGCAGCCATCAGTAAAGTAACCATGCATCATTCATGAAGCTGGCAGTTTTTGTGATTTTCTTTTGCTTCAAACTCCATGTATAACCAACCAGTTTGAATAAAAATCATATAAAAATATAGTTCCATATTTCTACACTCATGATTTGTCATTTATTTGACTGTGCAATTGACTGTAATGTGACTCGCTAACCCTAGAAGTTAGCAAGTAAATGCTGTTGAATATGCGCCGACTTGGAGTTCAGAGTTGTTGGAAACAAATTTACATCATGTTTCTGCCGTTGGTTCACAAGACATGGTAAACAGGACATTTTTATTTTTCTTCTGACCTGGTATTCCAATGCTATCAAAATAAGCATATCATCATTTATATGCAGTATCCCTTCAGGATGTGTGTAATTATAGCTAGTGATGGCCCTCATCTTGCTAGCACCCTGGGCAAGCTGAACTTTGGCGCCATTACAAGTATAATTTTAAAAACTTTTCACAATGAGAAAAACTGAAAATGTAGAATAATGAGTTTATTCCAATATACAACTTCATACAAGCTAAAGAAAACGTTCATTATCCGACCTAAAATATCTTTTTTTCATGACACTTTCTACAGCTATCTCCTTTGCAAAATCATTTTCTATTGACAAAATAGCTAATGAATTTAATTTGTCTTGAGTCATGGACAACCAAGTATGTTTTCATAAGTTTTAATTTTAGAAAATCTAAAATACATGACATGGCAGTCTTGATTATGGCTCTTCACAACTTCCTGTCTCTTGTTACTGTATTCAGTATTTGACTATTTACCATCCTTTCTTGTTCACATTGCTATGCATTCAGGCAAACACATTTACTCTCTGACCTGTAATAAATCCTAATGGTTCCATTTATGCATTTTTGAAAACAAAATTTTGTGAAAAAATTTTGAACGCCATCATTATTCCAAGCTTCTCCTTCTATTCTAGAGTAGGTAAGTTGTTTACTGATTTCCCTTTACCCCTCCTTCTCACAACATGTCCAATGAGTATTAAATTTTTCAAAGGCACTTTTCTCATTTCTACACCTATTTTCTTTGCAATATAAATTTTAACTGTATGTTTCTGATTTTAAAAAAGTGTGTCTTCTTTTTAGAAGAGAAAGAAAAAGTGGTCAAAAAATAAAGAGCAAAAAAGGTTGATAAAAGGAAAAAACTTAAAAAAACAGGAAAGAGGTTAAAAAAAAAGACAAGAAAAAAAGCAGATTAACAGAGGAAAAAGTAGAATCACAATAAAAGAAGGAAGAAAAGAAAGGTGGTGAAATAGAAGTGGTGGATAAACAACAAAAAAAATAAAATATCTACCTCAAGTTTGATTGTAAAGTATAATAAGAATATGGTAGGGCCTTCCTTTGAAAGACATGGATGACGGCATCATGAATTCTGTAAGAAAGAAAAATAATTCATGTCAGATAATTACGAAAAGTTTATAAAAAACAATAATTTTCTCTTAAAAAACAAAGATATCACTTGTGTGTATCAACCATAAAAATGTGAATAATGGAAAGGAAAAAAAGAAAAAGAAAAAAAAAGAAAAAGAAAGAAAAAAATAAATGGAAAGGAAAAGAAAAGAAAGAAAGAAATGGAAAGGAAAAGAAATGGAAAGGAAAAGAAATGGAAAGGAAAAGAAATGGAAAGGAAAAGAAATGGAAAAGAAATGGAAAGGAAAAGAAATGGAAAGGAAAAGAAAAAAAGAAAAAAAATGAAAAGGAAAAAGAAATGGAAAAAAGAAATGGAAAAGAAAAGAAATGGAAAAAAAATGGAAAGGAAAATGGAAATGGAAATGGAAAGAAAAGAAAATGGAAAAAAAAAGGAAAAAAGAAATGGAAAGGGAAATGGTGCTCTAAAAGAAATGGAAAGGAAAAGAAATGGAAAGGAAAAGAAATGGAAAGGAAAAGAAATGGAAAGGAAAAGAAATGGAAAGGAAAAGAAATGGAAAGGAAAAGAAATGGAAAGGAAAAGAAATGGAAAGGAAAAGAAAAGAAATGGAAAGGAAAAGAAAAGAAATGGAAAGGAAAAGAAAAAAAAAAGAAAGAAATGGAAAGAAATGGAAAGGAAAGAAAAAATGGAAAAGAAATGGAAAGGAAAAGAAAAGAAATGGAAAGGAAAAGAAAAGAAATGGAAAGGAAAAGAAAAGAAATGGAAAGGAAAAGAAAAGAAATGGAAAGGAAAAGAAAAGAAATGGAAAGGAAAAGAAAAGAAATGGAAAAGGAAAATGGAAAGGAAAAAAAAAATGGAAAGGAAGAAAAAATAATAATTGATTAGAAATGGAAAAGAAAAAGAAACTCAAAAAATAATAATCATTGCTTTAAAAGAAACTCAATACCCAAAAAAAAAAAAAAAACATTGTATTTTTTAAATTTTTACTGTTTCATGTTTAGTGTCGCATCATTCGTAACAAGTTCTGCAATGAGAATATTCAATTTAGTCTGGCACATTAACACAGTTCTGATAGTGAGTTATGCGGCTCCTAGTAAGAATCGATTTCACTGCAGTAGCCAAGACTAGCTTTTTAACCCTAACGCTATAGTAGGTACCCATATTGTAGATTTTACTTTACTGCCTTTCGAAAAAGGCCTCAGAATAACACACACACACAAAGAAACGTTCAAGTCTCGATAAATTTCCCCTCTGCAATAAATTTTAAATTTTTTCTAGTCACGAGGTATCGACAGAAATATGTGTGTTGCTTAGCAACAGAAAGATCGACATAAAATTCGTCTATTACAAGTACAATTTTGCAATATAGATAACCGATGTTTATTTCAAAGTAAAAGCTTACTCATGGCACCAGTGTTTGCGAAGATATAAGCACTGGATCAGCCGCATAGATTCAACACATATATTGAACCAGAAGATTGCCAAATCCCAAGAAAGCTTTGCCGAGGAAACTTGTGATAATATACAGAATTTAATAATTGAAATACAGTGTAACCCGGATGTAAGAGAGTTGTCGGGACCGGAGAAGAAGTCTCTTATATCAGGGTTTCTCTTATATCCAGGTCTCTTATATCCGGGTTACACTGTCACTCAAATGTAAAAAATTCAGAGGTATGTGAAAAGCCACACAAATTGAAAGTTAACATGACTTTTTGGGGGAGGGGGTGAATTTTTTATCCAACATTAGGTTCTTCCAAAATCCAAAGATTCGTTAAAAACTGGGTATAAATGATGAAAAAATGCCGAAAACTTAAAAACAATCTTTGTGTTATTATTAAGAGGAAAGATCAAAGGATAAAAAAAAAAATGTTTTGAATCTTGGAAACTTTTCTTAAGTTTTTCTGACATCAACGTGAGGACCATAAATTTGTAAGGGAAATTTGCAGTGAAAAATATTGATTTGGAAATTCTTGCAAAAATCAGATAATTGTTGGATTTTAATGAAACTTCCAGGACTTACTCAAAAATGATTGAAATTATTTAAATTTGTTTTTTCTTTTATCAAACACAACACCCTCTACACTCCTTTAATTTTTATGAAATCGAAAATTTGTTTTTGAAAGGTTTTAATGTTGTACGTGTGTTTCTTTTCTTTTTTTTTCTCTCAACACCCATAGAGTCCACGTCCATTAACTTGCCAGCGATATATGAAACCCCCGAGTTTGATATACGCTGCTTGTCGACCTCTCTGCCTCCAGGCAGAGAGTTACTCAGATGAAGTTATGCTGAAGGGCAGAGTCTCATCTGGGGAGGTAGACAAACCCGGCCCCGTTATTATCAGGTCTACAAGGAATTTTTGCCAGAGCCTACCGGCTTGGAACGCCCCACGTTAAAAATACAGGCCTTGTGACATACTCCACCTTATGGGGAGGACTTGAGTAAATACCTAGTCCACTTATAGTTTATACGGCAACTATGCTAAGAAGACCTTAGTTACAGTTTCTGGAAGTGAGTACATAATCTGACATGATCAACAGTTTGAACTAGACCAGTACGCTCAAACCTTTGGTCACGATGACGTGTACCTTCAGACTAAGACTATCCAATTTCACTCCCACGTGAGTCATCTTTACTAATAAATGTAGTTATTTTAAATGAACAAATTTAGATTTGAAATTTGATCATCTTGCCGTCAACAAAGCGACAGATAACGTACTAGTTATAAATACAGTGCAGCTTTTTAAAGTTTTACCTCGGTCATTGAGAGTTTATTTTCTGTATCTCGTCCTGGGTATTACAAACTACATACGGCAGCAAGACCTCTGATCGGGAAGTTCTGAGGACCGTGGAACCCCACCTCTTTATTGCTGTTCCTAGGTTCACCCTGACACGCTGATGATAGCACCAGTTAGGGTCCCAGCTATGAGCAAGTAGTAAACCCCTAAATTGGGGTCAAAACATTATGAAAGTATAAAAATCAGTTTTTATAGCAAAAAATACCATCAAAGCTCCCAAGAAAATTAAATTTCGACGTCAAATGACCCATGAGGAGTTGATATGTCGTTAAACAAACCAGACCTATTTTCTGTGTCAATTGTTACAATGATAAATCATTGATTGCTGTAACGGTAATAGTAAGATTAGCCATTTCCTTATAAGGAAACATTCGGGGTACTATTACACTTTTTCTCTACCCCCCCCACAAGTTGACTTGACGGAGTGAAGATTAAATAAATTAAACAAAAAGGTTTGTTTTTTTTACTTTTATTTTAAAATCGAATGGAAAATTATTTTATTTATTTGAGAAAATGTATCAAATAAATTAGTTGTAGCTAAATTGATCATTTAAAAAAGAAAAGAAAAAGAATTCAATTGATACAAAACTTTAATAGCGCCCAATTTTATTCAAGTAAAGGTAATGTGTGTAGTCTTAAAAGATATAATTTTAATTTTTAATAAATTGAAATAATTTAATTATTTTGTTTTTGGCTTACTTAAATTTTCCAACCATTTTTTAAAAATAAAAAAACAAATAATTTCATGAAAAAACTTGAAAATAAATTTCATCATTCATTCGTGTTTTATATCAATCAAATTCTTTGGGGCAATGGGGGGGTGAAAGTGTTATAGCGCCATATTCGGTATTCATTGATCGACCAGTTAATGTTACAATCAGTTGAAATGTGTGAAATCTTCCTATTAAAAATGTTCTTCAGAAAAATAGGCTTCTCAAATCCAGTCGCCGTTATAACCCTTTGCAGTATTGATGGGAGTACTCTTCCAAACCTTTTTTTTTTTTTTTTTTTTCTAAAGTAGTGTGAAAAGTCATCTTCAATATATCATTATTTCCTCTTCCATTTTAGTTTTTAAATTCTTGAAGTGATGGGTTTTTTCTTATAGTAGACTGGCGCCAGAGAATCATGAACGAAGAACTTAAAGTTCTTCGTTTGTAATTCTATAACGTCAGTCTACTCTATTCGACAAAGGATCGTTCTCTTCAAGACCCACAGGTTTCATTCACTTAAAACCATTTTTAAACACAGATCCGGTAAAATTATTGTGAGTTACCCTCACTTAGCTTTACTTGATTTACCAAGACGCCGTTAGGTGGCGCTGTTAAAGATGTATACAAAAATGGAACACCCTCCCTTTCTCTTTTTTTTTCCTTTTCAGCATGCTTTAGTGATAACACCAGAACGAGACCTTTTCCCAGTTAGGGGATATCTTTCAACCCGAGTGACGGAACTCTTTCAAGCACATACGTAAAGTGATTCATACACTTTTCTTCTTTATGTGCAGTGTCCCTTCAGAATATAGGCGCTCATGGCTCTCCACAATTTCCTGTCCTTCTTAGCTCTTAATAAATGTTTTGGTATTTCTAAACCATGTTCCACCATCCATTTACTGAAGCTCACGAAGTAGGTTAGGCGTTTTCCTCTTGCTCTCAATCTGTCCCGTGAGTATCAGATTTTCCAAGCCTTCTTTCCTCATTAAGAGAGGTAGAAACTTCGACTGTCTCTTATTGATGTTTCCTTTTGTTTCTATTTTCTCTAAAACTTCGTTATTGCGGACATATTCAGTCCATTGCATCCTCAGCATCCCTCTGTAGAACTGCATTTCTGTTGCTTCAAGTCTCTTCACCTTTGACGAGATTGTCCAGCATTTGCTCTTTTCTTTGTTTCTAACGAAGTTTTTCTGTTTCTTAATACTTTGCTTAGTTTTTGGAAGGCATCTTTCGCTATTCCAATGCGCCTTCGGATTTCCATCTCACACTTTCCGTCCGTCTGTTAAACACTTCCCAGATATTTTACAATGCGCCAGCTTTTCATCTTTCCTATCCCAATGCGCCTTCGGATTTCCGTCTCGCACTTTCCGTCCTCTGTTAAAACACTTCCCAGATATTTTACTGTTTCTTAATACTTTGCTTAGCTTTTTGGAAGGCATCTTTCGCTATCCCAATGCGCCTTCAGATTTCCGTCTTTCCGTCCTCTGTTAAAACACTT